GATATGTATGTGTAGCACTGAATTGACACAAATGGGAACAGTCTCAGATCGGCTTTCTGCTCTGACGGAGTGGAGGCGCTCGCCTGCCTCTATGCACAAGCCTATTAGCAGGGAGGGTTTCCTTGCTCTGATTTCCTCTTGGTTATGTCATTGTTTGCTGTATCCTGTCTCCTCACTGTGGTCATTTATCAGAGGTTCTGAGTGCTTTCTTTTCTTTTCTTTTTTTTTTTTTTGAGACAGAGTCTTGCTCTGTCACCAGGGCTGGAGTGCAGTGATATGATCTCTTGCAGTCTCTGCTCCCTGGGTTCAAGCAATTGTGATTATAGGTGTGAGCTGCCATTCCCGGCCGAGCGCTTTCATCATTCCTTTTCTTTAGACTTTTTGTAAGGTGGTTTTAAAACATACCTACCAGTAGAGAGAATAACATTATAGGTCATTCTTCACCTGTCCCCGAGTTTCAGAAATTAGGCAATCAGTCTGTCATGTTTGTCTGTTTTTTTGTTAAAATGACACCTCTTTCCTGAGCAACGACTGAATGGCAGATGCAGCTGTGAGACAGGATGAGGACCTTCCTTTTAAGGTTTCAGTGCAGGAAACAGGCAATGAGTGGATTAACCAGTGAATATGAATTATTTGAGGCTGGGCACGGTGGCTCATGCCTGTAATCCTGACACTTTGGGAGGCTGAGGCAGGAGGATCGTTTGAGCCCAGGATTCAGGGATTCTGCAGTTGCACCACTGCACTCCAGCCTGAGTGACACAGTGAGACCCTACTCTAAAAATAATAAATAAATAAAACATTTGAGGTAGGGATGGGGTCTGCTATGGAGAAAACCAGGGTATGGGGGCAGGGAGTGCAGGGTACAGGCCAGGACCTACTCTCTCGGGGTGGTCAGGGAAGGCCTTGCGGAGGAGGTGAGCACTGAGCAGAGATCCGAAGGACTGTGGGACTGCCCTGGGATTCCCCAGCTGAGGGACGGCAGTGCAGAGGCCCAGCATTGGAAGCCTGCTGGGTGCGGTGGGTGAATGGCAAGGAGACTGTTGAGGCTGGAGAGGGTCGCCGAGGGGGACTGTGGTAGGAGATGAGGCCGGTGGAGTCCTAGTCATGGGCCATTGGAAGGACTTGAGATAGGAAGCCACTGGACTCTAGCGATCAGAGATGACATGATCTGACTTTTAACAGAATAACCATGGCTTTGGGGTGGAGATTGGATTGTATGGGCCTGAGAGCAGAAGCAGGGAGACCAGTTTGGAGACTGTTGCAATAACTCAGGTGAAAGCTTATGGTGATTGGGGCAGGGTGGGGTGTAGGTGGGACAGAGAGGATGAGACAAATTAGAGCCTGGATACCTATTTATTTTTTTTTAATTATTTATTTATTTTTAAAGTTTGAGACAAGATCTCTCTCCCAGGGTGGAGTGCAGTGGTGTGATCACAGTTCACTGCAGCCTCAACCTCCTGGGCTCAAGAGCTTTTCCCACCTCAGCCTCCTGAGTAGCTGGGACTACAGGTATACGCTACCATGCCCGGCTAATTTTTAAGTTTTTGTACAGATGGCTTCTTGCTACATTGTGCAAGCTGATCTTGAACTCCTGGTCTCAAACAGTTATCCTGCCTTGGCCATCTAAAGCGTTGGGATTACAGGCATGAGCCACTGCACCTGGCCTGAGCCTGGATATATTTTGCATGTAAAGCCCCAAGCAGGTTCTTAAACTGATCATGGTGAAGTTTATTATCATTTTCTTCTGGAATAGTTTCTTTGAATGACTTAACACTTTTTTTTTTTTTTTTTTTGAGACAGAGTCTCACTCTGTTGCCCAGGCAATCTTGGCTCACTGCAACCTCCACCTCCCGGGTTCAAGCAGTTCTCTGTGACTCAGCCTCCCAAGTAGCTGGGATGATAGCTGCCTGCCACCATGCCCAGCTAGTTTTTGTATTTAGTAGAGATGGGGTTTTGCCATGTTGGCCAGGCTGGTCTCCTGACCTCAGGTGATCCACCCACCTCGGCTTCCCAAAGTGCTGGGATTACAGGCATGAGCCACCGTGACCAGCCAAGAATTGACTTAATTCTTAAGTCAGTTGACTCAAATGAGTTATCGTTTGGATTCTAGAGTCAAATATCATGCAAGAAATATTTGAGCCTTATGAGGAATACAGAAGATACATGAGATAGGAGCCTTATCTTCTAAGAACTTGAAACCCAGTTTGGGAATATTGGACTGGTGTACATGTGCTGATTTCCTGTCTACTTGGCAAGTGCCCACTGAGGGCTTAGAGACAGGAAGGAAGAGAACAGTGTGAGCTGATAGCCTCTGTGCTCTAGGACCAGCTCTGTGGGGAAGTTACTTTACTTCGAGGGCTAACTTGGGGTTCAGCTTTCATTCAGGTCTCCTGGGATATAAATCAACATTCCATTCTCATCAATGTGACTGTTTATTACATATTTTTATTTGGATGTACTGTCAGATGTAGTTAACAACACGAAGTAATTTTATAAGCAAATAAATTATAGTCCTGGAAGTACTGAGTACATATGTGTCTTACACTGGGGGTTTTAATGCAGCACCACCGTGTGTAAATTGCAGGTAGTCCAGGATGTGCAGAAAGCGAATGTTGACACCAGTAACAGGAACTTTCCAAATTTTTGTTGACTACAGCGATGGGAAACTGCAGTGAATTATTGCCTTATATAGTATCTGTAGAGCTGGAAAATAAGTAGATAGTTTCTGGTGTATATGCCAGTAGCTTAAATAAATACACTTGAAGCATTCTTGGACATCTTAAGGTTATGCCGCTTGATTTAGTGCTCAAGAGCTTGGTTATTTGGACACAAAGAAGCTACTTCCCCAGAAATAAAGGAAATAGAAATCTGACTGTCTAGTGAAACCTACCAATTCTGCATAAACATATACTGTAGAGGCCAGTGAGCAGAGTGGCAAGGAAGGGGGGGCTTTCCGTCAATAGCAGCCTGATTCTGATGCCAACTCTAAACATTGCAAGCTCTGTAGACTCTTGCAAGTGTGTAGCTACTTTGCCCCGGTTTCATCCCAGTTTGTGTGAGGATTAAACAATGTGTGCAAACCCCTTAGAACCTTACTTTTAAAAACACGTTAGCTATTGTTATTGTTATTTTAAAAACAATTGCAAATGGACAGTCTTTTTTGACTTTTGACTATTGATAACTGGCTCTTGTTAGAAAGCATGAATAATAATAAAAATAACACATTTATGTAACAAATATTTGAGGGCCTGATGAAAACAGATAAGTAAGGCTGGGGTGGAGTTTAAAGAAAGTGCTTTGCTATTTTATGAAACACTTAGCTGGTATTTTCTCGTTTTTATACTTGGTAGCTCTGGTTAGCAGAAAGGCCTGGTTTGTTCTTTTGCAGATGGACTGAAACTCAGACATCTACAAAATGGCCCACTTAGCAGAGGCCAGACTTGCTCTCACTATCCCTTCCCTCTTCCTCCCAGTCCCTCTGTGTCTGTATGGAACTCTGCCCTGGTGTTTTTCTTCTGTATCGTGGACATCGGTGAGAGCCAGGCCGTTGCATTCATGTTGGAGAAGTTTTGGCCTCTGGAGATCAGCTTCATAAAACTACACACATTTTAACTTTAAATCAAATGTATTGAGGTATAATTTACATGCAATAAAATGTACCCATTTTAAGCCTGCAGTTTGACGAATGTGGTCAAACATATTCACCTTGTAACTGCCTCTGCAGTCAAACAGCAGTGCATTTCATTTCTATCACCCGAGTTTCCTCGCACTCGTGAGCACAGTCTATGATTTCTGCCACGATTTCTGCCTCTTTTAAACATCATATAAATGGAACCACTGAGTATGCAGTCTTTTACGTCTGGCTCCTTCTTTAGCATTCGACCTGTGACATTCACCCACGAATCAGCATTTTACCCTTTTTACACTCACTTGGTGATGGACATTGGGGTTGTTTTAAGTTTCTTTTTCTTTTTTATTTTTTTGGCAAGGAGTCTCACTCTGTTGTCATTCAGGCTGGACTACAGTGATGCCATCTCAGCTCACTGCAACCTCCAGCTCCTGGGTTCAAGTGATTCTCCTGCTTCAGCCTCCCGCGTAGCTGGGATTACAGGTGCCCACAAGCATGCCCAGCTAATTTAATAAGTATTTTTAGTAGAGACAGGGTTTTACCATGTTGGCAAGGCTGGTTTCAAACTCCTGACCTCAGGTGATCCACCTATTTCAGTCTCCCAGAGTGTTAGGATTACAAGTGTGAGCCACTGTGCCTGGCCAGTTTTTTGCTATTTTAAATAAAGCTCCAGTGAACATTCTTATGCAGATCTTTGCATGGACATGGTTTCATTTCCCTCGGATAGTTACTTAGAAGTAGAATTGCAGGGAATAATGTAAATATGTTTGATTTTTTTAGAAACTGCCAGCCCGTTTTTCAGTGGTGATGCCATTTTATGCTTTCTTTGGCTCAAGCCACAACCTCACCACCACTTACTGTTATCAGTCTTTTTCATCTTAACCATTCTAGTAGTATGAGGTGGGTATCTCATTTTATTTCATTTATTTGTATTTATTTATTTATTTTTGAGACAGTCTCACTCTGTCACCTAGGCTGGAGTGCAGTGGCACCATCTTGGCTCACTGCAACCTCTGCCTCCTGGGTTCAAGTGATTCTCTTGTCTCAGCCTCCTGAGTAGCTGTGATTACAGGTGCCCACCATCACACCTGGCTAATTTTTGTATTTTTACTAAAGATGGGGTTTCACCATGTGGGCCAGGCTGGTGTCAAACTCCTGACCTCAGGTGATCCGCCCACCTTGGCCTCCCGAAGTGCTGGGATTACATGCATGAGCTACCATGCCTGGTCAGGTGTCTCATTTTAATTTGCATTTCTTTGATGACCAATGATGATGAGCACTTTGCTGTGTGCTTTCTATTTGTACCTTTTCTTTTGTGAAATGTCTGTTCAAATTTTTTGCTCATTTTTTAGTCAGGTTTATTTTCTTCTTTTCAGTTGTAAGAGCTCTTTATGTATTCTGGATATAGGTACTTTGTTAGATATACATACTGAGAATGTTTTCGCCCAGTCTGTCTTTTACTTTCTTTAATGGTAAAATTTGAAAATCCTAAGTTTTAAATTTTTGATAAAGTCCAATTTACCACATTTTCCCCTCATGGTTCTTGCTTTTGATATCCCAACAAATCTTTGCCTTCTCCAAAGTCATGGGGATTTTTTCCTGTTTTCCTCTGAAAGTTTTAGTTTTAGTGTTGATGTGTAGGGTAGTGATTCATTGTGAATTAATTTTTATGTGAGGCATAGGGTTGAGGTTCATTCTTTTCCATACAGATAACCAGTTGCTTCAGCACCATTTGTTGAAAAGATTGTTCATTTCTTATTGAATTACTTTGCCATCTTTTGAAAATAGATTAGCCACATACATGTGGATCCTTTTCTGGACTTTCTGTTTCGTTTATCTCTACGGGCATACTTCAGAGATGTTGCAGGTTTGAATCCGGACCACCATAATCAAGTGAATATCGTAATAAAGTGAGCCAAAGTTTTTTCATTTCCCAGTGCATATAAAAGTTATGTTTGGCTGGGCATAGCGGCTCACACCTGTAACCCCTGTACTTTGGGAGGCTAAAGCAGGTAGATCACCTGAGGTCAGGAGTTCGAGACCAGCCTGGCGAACATGATGAAACCCCGTCTCTACTAAAAATACAAAAAATCAGCTAGGCATGGTGGCAGGCACCTGTAATCTCAGCTACTCAGGAGGCTGAGGCAGGAAAATCGCTTGAACCCGGGAAGTGGAGGTTGCAGTGAGCTGAGATCGTGCCACTGTACTTCAGCCTAGGCAACAAGAGTGAAACTCCATCTGAAAAAAAAAAAATTATGTTTACACTATACTGTAGTCTATTAAGTGTGCAATAACCTTATGTCTAAGAAACAATGTACATACCTTAATTTAAAAATACTTTATTGCTTGTCAGTCATAAAAGAATTGTGAAGTGACCAAAAAATAAAAAAATCTTTATTGCTAAAAGAAAATGCTAACAATTATCTGAGCCTTCAGCGAATGGCAATCTTTTTGCTGGTGGAGGGTCTTGTCTTGATGTAGATGGCTGCTGACTGATCAGGGTGCTGGTTGCTGAAGGCTGCAGTGACTGTGGCAATTTCTGAAGACAGCAGTGAAGTTTGACGCATTTATTGACTCTTTTGCAAAACGTTTTTCTGTAGCACGTGATGCTGTTTGATAACCTTTTCCCCATAGTAGATCATCTTCTAAAACGAGCCAATCTCTTAAACCCTGCTACTGCATTATCAACTAAGTCTGTGGAATACTCTAAATCTTTTATAGTCATTTCAGCAGAGTTCACAGCATCTTTACTCAGAGTACATTCCTTCTCAAGAAACTGCTTTTTCTGCTCCTCCATAAGAAGCGACTCTTCGTCTGTAAAGCCTTGATCATGAGATTGCAGCGATTCTGCCATGTCTTCAGGCCCCCCTTCTAATTTTACTTCTTTTGCTGTTTCCACTGCATCTGCTGTTACTTCCTCCACTGGGGTCTCGAACCCCTCAAGAGTCATCCATGAGGGTTGGAATCAACTTCTTCAAACTTCTATTAATGTTGCTATTTTGATCTCCCCCCACCCCCGTGAATCCCGAATGTTCTTCATGACCATTAGAATGGTGAATCCTTTCCAGGTTTTCATTTAGTTTGCCCAGATCCTAAGAGGAATCACTAGCCTTACAAATCACTTTGGAAGGCTTTAGCCTTACAAAATGTATCTCTTTAGTAATAAGACCTAAAAGTCAGAATTACTCCGTGATCCATGGGCTGCAGAATGGTTGTGTTAGCAGGCATGAAAACAGAAATGGATCTTAGTCGATTTAGAGGTATATTTTGCCAAAGTTGAGAAAGAAACACAAGTCACCATAGGATCTGTGGCCTGTGCTTTTTCCAAAGAGGGTTTTGGAAACTTCGGTATTTAAAGGGGAAAAAAGCAGGAGGGGAAGAGGGGAAGATGAGGGGAAGTAGGCAATGAGGTCAGTGGTCACATTTTCGTGAGGCTTTGAGTACCATTCAGTGAATCTACATTTTACACGTAAACAGAAGGGAGTGGGGCAGAGTCACATACACCTTCTCTGCACAGTAAATCTACATTTTACATGAGATGAAGTAAGCGTGTAAATTACTTTATCTAGGAAAGAAAAGAAGATAGATTTTTGTGTGTGTGTGTGACTTGGTTACTAAGATTAACTCTCCCATTAGCATGTTGAGTTTGGAGTCTCGAGATTTTATTTTTCTTTCACAATGTATAAACAGAGAGATAGACTGGTGATAAGGAATTGGATCACACGATTATGGAGGCTGAGAAATTCAGACCCTGGAGAGCCGATGGTATAGCTCCAGTCTGAGATGGAGTCCAAAGGCAGAAGATCAATGTTCCAGCTCAAAGACAGGCAGGCAGGAAGAGTTGATTCTCTTACTCTACCTTTTTTTCTTTTGAGACAGAGTCTTGCTCTGTCTTCAAGCTCCAGGCTGGAGTGCAGTGGCGCAGTCTCCGCTCACTGTAACCTCTGCCTCTCACGTTCAAGCACTTCTCCTGCCTCAGCCTCCTGAGTAGCTGGGACTACAGGCATGCACCACCACGCCCAGCTAATTTTTGCATTTTAGTAGAGATTGTGTTTTACTGTGTTGGCCAGGATGGTCTCGATCTCTTGACCTCATGATCCACCTGCCTCGGCCTCCCAAAGTGCTGGGATTACAGGCGTGAGCCACTGCGCCTGGCCCAACTTTTTTTTTTTTTTTTTTTTTTTGAGGCAGAGTCTTGCTCTGTCAGCCAGGCTGGAGTGCAGTGGCGCAATCTTAGCTCACTGCAACCTCTGCTTCCTGGGTTCAAGTGATTCTCCTGCCTCATCCTCCTGAGTAGCTAAGATTATAGGCATGCACCACCATGTCTGGCTAGTGTGTGTGTGTGTGTGGGAGTCTCACAATGTTGCCTAGGCTGTAGTACAGTGGTGCCGTCTCAGCTCACTGCAACCTCTGCCTTCTAGGTTCAAGCTATTCTCTTTCCTCAGCCTCCTGTGTAGCTGGGATTACAGGTGTGTGCCACCACAACCGCTAATTTTTGTATTTTTAGTAGAGGCAGGGTTTCACCATGTTGGCCAGGCTGGTCTTAAGCTCCTGACATCCCAAAGTGTTGGGATTACAGGCATGAGCCACTGTGCCTGGCCTTACTCCACCTTTTTATTGTACATGGCCTTAATGGACTTGTTGAGGCCCACTCATACTGGGAGGGCATCTGGTATCTCACTTCACCCATTTGGATGTTATTGTCCTTCAGAAACATGCTTATAGACACACTCAATATATGCTTAACCAAATATATGGGTACCCCATGGCCCAGTCCAGTTGACACATAAAATTAACCATGTATTACATGATCTTTTGTATGATAGATGCCAGTTCTGCTGTAAAAATGTGAAAAATGCCCTTCTTTGGAGCTTAATGTAGATCTGGCCACGTGGCAGTGTCTTCCAGAGCAGGATGACTGTGGTGATGTCAGGGTGACACACTAGCTGAACATGAGTGAGCTAAGGCCACAGCTGACCACTGCCAGCTGCCTTTTCTTTCGCCAGTTTTGCCCGCAGTTAGCAAAAGGGGGTATCTGGACCAGTGGCCTTGCGTGGGCAGCCAGCATGGGCTTGCTCCCTGGGGCCACAGAGTCTGCCCCTGGCTTCATGCCCTGCATGTTGTGTGTGAGCAAAGAAATATTTAACAACCCCACCCGGAGCTAAGACAAAACTGTCAGCCTAACCACAGTGTTGCATTTAAAACTAACCCAATAATTTTCAGTGCCATTTATGAGGGCATCTGACACAGCCCTTGTGGAAAAGCACCCCCACCCCTAAAGTTTCCTGGCAGATGATGCTTCTCGGTGAAACTTTGCTCTGTGGGTTCCCTTGCTGGAGGCAGGAGCCCGTGGTTGAGGCAGCACAGGTTACATGTCTGTTCATCTGATACGCCTCTGCATGCTCTGCTTTTTGTCGAAATAGTGAGTTACATTTGGAAATCACGTCCTTTTTTTTTTTTTTTTTTTTTTAAGGAAAAATTACTTTTTGGGGTCAGTGTTGCCCATGATGTGTTTTGGAAGCAGGTGAGATCATGACTGCAGTTCTCAGCCCAGCTGTTCTTTCTATCAGACTCTTCCCTGAATGCTCCTCTCGTGCCCAGAAGGCAGCGGAAGTCACACAGGCTTCAGGCTGGAGGCACCTTAGTCACTGGGCCAGACATTCCTGTATGTCCAAGCTGTCATTGTTGTTATTGTTGTTTTGTTTTGTTTTTTGAGATGTAGTCTCACCCTGTCACCCAAGCTGGAGTGCAGTGGCACGATCACAGCGTACTACAGCCTTGACCTCCTGGGCTCAAACCATTCCCCCACCTCAGCCTCAGAGTAACTGGACCACAGGTGTGTGCCATCATGCCCAGCTAATTTTTAAAATTATTTGAAGAGATGAGGTCTCACTGTGTTGACCAGGCTGGTCTTGAACCCTATTGGCTCAAGCAGTCTGCCTGCCTTGGCTTCCCAAAGTGCTGGGATTATAGGCATGAACAACCATGTCTGGCTGTCCAAACTGCCTTTTAAAATGAAAACTTGGCCGGACGTGTTGGCTCATGCCTGTAATCCCAGCACTTTGGGAGGCCAAGGCAGGTGGATCACTTGAGCCCATGAGTTCAAGACTAGCCTGGTCAACATGGTGAAACCCATCTATATAAAAATTAGCCAGGCATGGTGGCGCACACCTGTAACCCCAGCTACTCAGGAGGCTGCTGTGGGAAGCTCACTTGGGCGAGGAGGTGGCAGTGAGCCAAGATCACACCACTGCACTCCAGCCTGAGTGACAGAGTAAAACCTTGTCTCCAAAAAAAAAAAAAAAATGGCCAGGTGCAGTGGCTCACGCCTGTAATCCCAGCACTTTGGGAAGCTAAGTTGAGCGGATCACCTGAGGTCAGGAGTTTGAGACCAGCCTGGCCAACATGGTGAAATCCTGTCTCTACTAAAAATACAAAAATTAGCCAGGCATGGTGGCACGCACCTGTAGTCCCAGCTACTCGGGAGGCTGAGGCAGGAGAATTGCTTGAACCCCGGAGGCAGAGGTTGTGGTGAGCCAAGATGGTGCTATTGCACTCTAGCCCAGGCAACGAGTGAAACTCCTTCTTAAAAAAAAAAAAAAATTACCATTGTAGTCATTTTTAAGCCTGCAGTTTAGTGGTGTTAAGCACATTCACATTGTTCTGCAGCAACCACCACCATCCATCTCCAGAACTCTTTCACCTTGCAGAACTAAAGCTGTGTCCCCACTGAACCCAAACTCCCCATTCCCTTTCTCCAGCCCCTGACAACCACCATTCTACTTTGTCTCTATGAATGTAACTGCTCTGGGAACCTCAAGAAGTGGAATCTTGAAGTATTTGTCCTTTTGTTTCTGGCTGATTTCACTGAGCATAGTGTCTTCAGTGTTTATCCATGTTGTAGCATGTG